CAAATCATGTGTGGATGAAATTGCAACTGTACACTACACATCATCATAGAACAGAACATAGAATGGCAGAGTTGCAACTGTTTACCTCAACTTCATTGACTTTGAAAAGGCCTTTGACAGTGTCGACCGAGAAGTAATTTGGCAACCGCTGCTTGAACACTAGGGTTTTAGTGCCACAAACCTTTATGAACCTCATTCGATAGCTATATGCTGTATGAGGATGCTACATGCCAAGTGATTGACAACGGTAAGCTGAGTGATGCCTTTGAAGTGAAGACAGGGGACGGTGTAAGACGAGGTTGTCACCTACTATCCCCGATCATCTTCGTGATTGTGGTCAACTGGACTGGACTGGATGATGCAACAGAGAACTGTGAGGAGCGAGGAGAGGGGCATGCACTGGTTGAAGCGATGAAAAGACACCAGGAGAGTATTTGGATTTCACCGCCGATGATGATATATGTCTAGTGTCTCGTCGCACAAACTGGAAGATCTGCAGGCGAAGACCAACAAGTTGGTAGAGGAGGTGAGGCGGGGCAGGTCAGGGGAGACGAAACTTCCTTCAGGTGAATGTAGAGAAAGAAGACAGAGGTGATGAAGATACCCAGCCAATAACAAAAAGTATCAATCACTATGAACGGGAGAAACCTAAAGGAAGTATTCTCTTTCACCTAGCACCTAGGCAGCATCGTTTCGACTACAGGTGACATAGATGAAGACGTTAAATCCAGGATCAGGAAAGTAAGAGAGGCCTTCATCCATCTGAAATCAGTGTGGAGATCTGCTGCACTCGACTCAAGCGTGAACACTATCTGGATTTTCGACACTTACTTCAGTCAAGTCAATACTCGTATATGGTTCAGAAACCTGCTTCAATTGCCAATCATGGAGGTCGGACTTGAATGGGATGCAGATGTCGGTCCTTCAACTCTCCTGGAAGTTGAGAAGACTGTTTTAAACTTGAAAAGACGCAAAGCAGTGGGACGCGTGTAGAGGGTTACTGTGTGAACTGATGATAAACTGTGGTAGCCACCAGGGATACACACTTTGAGTGTTGCTGCTTGACTTCGTTATAGATACATCAACTGATTTAGTCTTAGGTACTGCTGGATTCTCAGAAAGGACGTCGATTTGACTTGCAGTACGCCTACTACGTCTTCCTGTTAAACGAAGACGCTAACAAAATACGTAGTCTTCTGAGTATTTTGGCATGAGTTTGAACCTGCGAAGTGTATAGTGATGCCTCATGATTGATCTTGAAGTCTTATCAGTTTAAGAGTGAGTGCTGAATTGGCGTAGTGCTATGTACTGTTGGACGGCTGTGTGGTGTCCCGGTTGCATCTAAAAGTTATGAAGAGACTACGGGTTTCTGACCACAGGTTTTTTCGTAGCTTGGGTAACATAAGGTGGAATCACGATGGTATCAGTGTCTAGGTTAATGTAAGGGCAATAGGCGAATCAATTGATCAGGTTGCAATCCGTAGTCGACTACGGTGGCTTAGACTTGTTCTTCTGCCTGCTGAGCCACCGCCTTCCTCGATTTGCTATGCTGGGGAAAGTTGGATTTGTTTGGAAGATGGTTCAGGGTGACCAAACAAGTACATGGCACCAGTTGATGAAGTTTTTGACTCTTGGTCTCAGTAGTGTGTGTGTGTGTGGGGGGGGGTACACCTTGTGGATGGGATCAGATGACACTGACTGACTGATAGAACCAACTCAAAACCCCACACAAAGGTGCATCGGCTCAAGTTTCCGCACTTCACAGTACCACACAAAGAACAGGTGGGTAGAAAAAGAGTGATATCAAAAGAGATGAAGTAGTTAATGCGAATAAGCCATCTGAAGATAAAGGTTAGCGTGAATACTCAAGCTTTTGAAGATGCCAAGGAGTGGATACATTTGCGCCATTTTGACCGATTTTCAGCCGTTACCAGAAGTCCTTAGGCACTCCCCAAGTAAGTGAAGTGGTCCAAGTATTCCACCACCTCACTTCCTATCATTAAACTGGGAGTACTTGCAGCAGACCAGTCCTGTAACATCGTCTTACATTTGACAGGTGCGAAACGCATGCTAACCAAACATACTCAGATTTCTGCTCAATGAGTTCACTAGACTCTACATTTTGTCGGCATCTCAAGCCAGCAGGACAATGTTGTCTGCATACTCCAAGTCAACCAGATGACCATCATGGTGTAGGTCGATCCCTTAAAGTCAGGCTTACCCTAAGTTTATGCCCATTAGTACCTTTATAGCGAAGTTAAGTGGGAAGGGTGACAGTGCCCAACCCTGACGAACACCGCTAGTTGTTAATTTTGATGACAACTCCCCATAAACCCTTTACAAAGCTGTATGAGTATAAGCTTGGTATTCTCTTCACAGATAGACACAACACCTCAGGGTCGACTGAGTCAAATTCCACCTTCAGATCAAGAAATTTGGCAAGTGTTGATCACTGACCGGTAGTTATGCCTGTGCTCCAGAACCCATCACGGGATGAAAATATTATCAATGCATCCTCATCCATCTCTGTCTGAAATCTGCCTGGCTTTCTGGAGTTTGCTGTTCTCCAGCTCCAGTTAGGCGTCATATACCTATGAACTCTAGGATCTTGGATATAATATTAGTTGAACGAATTCCTTTGTGGTTGGTACAGGAAGACATCTCTCCCTTCTTATAGACTGGGATGATCAGTAAAGTATACCAGTCTGACGGCACTACCTCTGATTCCTACACACTATTCAGTACCTCCACCACTTTAATCAGCGATTCCCTACCTCCATCCTTGGAAACTCCAGGTGGCAAACTGTCAGGTCCTGCTACTTTGCATCATTTTCATTTCCATACAGCTTTGTCAACTCCGAGGAGAGTTAGAGGACCGATATCTACACGCCATTCAGGTTGAGGCTGGATGTTGGGCAACTAAAGCGTTGCTGTGGGCGGTTGACACTTCCCAGCTGCTCATACCGTAGAACGCATTTCTTTTCTAAGGTACCTGAAAGAGAACATGATTTGTGTGACCATAGATCTCATGGATTATCTGCTTGAGAACTGTCACATGCGACCTTTTGTGGGTTGTTGCTTTGAGATTTGGATGTTTGAACGCCGGCTAGAGAGGACCCGTACCGCCGACACCGGAAGACCGTGGGCAGGTGGAGTGTGTCATTTTGAGGGTCGACCTTTTCTAATCCCTTTCGTTGGGAAGACAAGATCAACGTGGCACTGCTGGTCATACGAAAGAAAAATCCTGATGCTGTCACACTCCAGCTAGCAACAGTACGTATTTGCCTCCAGACCCCATCATAGTGTAGTGATTTACTCTATAACGGTAATTGCTTTTCGTCTTACCACTATCTAATAGATCTTTCTGGCATAGTAGTAGTACCTCCGGGGAACAAGTGCTCCACCAGCATAGCTCGTTGGGTTATTGTGATATGCCAGCCAGACGACCACATCAAGGTAGCAGCTAACGGTCAGAGATGCGATCTTCGAGGTAATCAGAATCAACATTTCAGGACTCTTGGTGAAATGGCTGAAAGTCGGTTACAGTGGCGCAAATGAATTCACTCTTCTATATCTTCTAGAGCTTGAACATTTTCGCTAGCCTTCATTTTCAAGTTCTTTTTCCTATACATTGTTGCTCACCTTGATTTAAGTCTTTTTCTGTTGACTTGTTCTTCTCATGCTACTGAAAAGTGTGGTAACTTGGATCGGTACACTTCTGTCTGAGGTTCAACGTTGATTTCTTCAGTCTGTTTGTTTGTCACACTCATTGTTAACTGGTAGGAAGCTACGCTCATATGCACGAGCTTGTTGACAATGGGAGTCATTAGCAGATGCCACTCATTGTAGTCATTTCAGCTGGAAACTACGGATAAAGCCCGGCGTACTTTAGGGTCGAGATTTTGACAGCGGTCGCCAAAATGGGTCGACGAAGAGACCAACAATTCATCCACTTAACTTTCTGCCCTTTAATTAACAATCGGTACAGATCAGTCCTAAAGCATTATCCTCTATTTCACGGGTTCAAAACGCGTGGCAAAAGTACTGAGATTTCTACTCAACGTGCTCAAAAGATTATCAACGTCTTCGCCTAACAGGACGATGTCATGTGCGTGCCGCAAGTCAAACAGATGCCCTTCCTGTAAATTCAAAAGTACCTAAAGTTACGTTAATCGATGCATCTATAACGAAGTTAAGCAGGGACACTGATAGTGTGCATCCCTGGTGGCTACCACAGTTTACCATAACTTCAGATGACGACTCTCCATATACTCTATATGAGTTCGAGTAGAGAGCTTTGATTATGCGTTACTTACTTGCTCCCTACTCCTTTACAGTCAGATAATGTTACAACGCTTGACGTTCGGTCGGGTCCAAAGCTGCCCTCAGGTTGAGAAACGTGACAAGTGTCAACCCCCGGTAAGTATTCATGTGTTTTAAAACCTATCGAACGGCGAAGATCTGATCGATTTAATGTTCTCCAAATTTGAAAACTACCTAGTCACTTATCAGAATCAGTAACATTCTACCCTCATCCTTAAAACCTCTTTGGGGAAAAGCATCAGGTCATACTGCTCTTATTTTCTGCTGCAGTACAAGTAGCAGCACCGTAAGCTGCCAGTCATCCACGAATAGTTTTACTGCTTCTATGATTCCTTCAACCAGCAATTTTTGCAACTTCGACGCTAGACCTGCACCACAGCCTAGATTATCCGCGCCATGACGGTAACTGCCTTGAAGAGCAATCGTTCCAGTTTGCATAGCTCGTTGGTTTATTAAAATTTGCAAGCACTACTACCACATGAAATTATCTGGTTTCGTTTGGAAACTAAAATAATGTCACTGGCTAGTGTTATCACAAGAAATTTTTCCATTCACTGGGTTGTTAAAATAATAAGTAATAACGTATTATTTATATAGTTGTGTTGGAGTTCATTTGATGTTCATATCTCTCAGACTTTATTTACACTTCCATATTGTCGATTCTTTTTCATCCACAGGATGACTTCTTATTGCAGCATTATGATGACGGCGCTTGCAAAGGTAAACTTGGGCATTCTCGTGCATCAGTAATTGGTCATCGTGTTTATGTAAGTAATTCCAGTCCAACAGTGAATTCTTTTTCTAATAATGTCTACAACTGACTGTTGATTGTATTCGATATCCCTTTTTTAACGGAACCTTATCCATCACGCCCCCACCACCACTTATTCGGACTAAACTGAGAACCCAGTCTCTTGTTCCTGAATTACTATTACCACTCGCTAGCCTGAACGTATTTAGGAAAGGGGATTTTGAACCTATGATCCACCGGTTGAAATTTGATTATCTAGAGAATTAGCCACAACTGTTTAGTTACATATTCTAAAACTATTGACAGTTTCCGCTGTGAAAGAGAAATATGCTAAACATTAGAGTCATTCTGACAGAACAACTTCGATAAATAGTCATGTCTATAAAATAATGAACTTCTTTGTTTTTTTCTACCTTGATTCATCGTAGGTAGCAAGCTGATTTATCGGTCATTAGCTGGTTGTAACACAGTTTTTTCTCTACATTCAAGTGTTTTTTAAACCCTGTTAATTAGTGAAAAGATAACTGATTTATTAGATATTTACAGGTCAGTTGATATGGAACCCTACATAGAAGTGCGTCAGTCCAAGCGGTTATACTTTTCAACAGCAATAAGAGTAGGAAAAGAAGTCGGCTGAAGTGTAGGATAAGGAAGAGAATATTTACCCGATATACCACTATAGTGTGATGAGCTCTTATTCTGAGCTAAGTAATTGCCTTTATTAGTTTTCCGGACTTCTTTCCGTCTTACTGTAAATACTGGTTATATAGCGATTGCCTATTCAAATTCTTAACTTTGGGTAATATGTTTAAACTATCTCTTTCGATAATCTTAATGTCTAGTCAGTATTTGAGCCCTCATATATGATGGCTGACTGGTAGTTGTAGTCAAACGTGTTTTTTTAGTTATTTAAAATACGAACTGGGAGTAACATGCACCAAGATATACGGAATAACATAGCAACATGAAGAAGACGCTAAAATTGTATGGAAAGACGAAAAGAAAGAAGAACGAAGACAAAGAGTAACAGAAGTCGGTTATTGGAGACGCGGTCTCATAGATACCATTTTCGTTTTAATCTTCGATAATGGTAGGAACAAGGAGAAACTTGTAACATCATCGTCACTGGTTTCAATTTCAAATCATGTATGTGATGGTCTAGAGCCACGGAGTTGCGGTGGTTCTCATGCTTTGTCGTGGTAGTTGTGAGTTTCTAACATATGCTAAACTAACACACATTCCAGCCACCTGCACACAGTGGCTCCACTGGTCTGGACTCTCGACTTTCAACCAGTATGTCACACGTTCGAACTCTGTTTCACCTTCTGAGGTTTAGGCAGCCAGGTAGTATATATATATATATAATAAGTTTATATAATTAGCCCTCGTACAATAAATATTGCTCGTTCCCTTCTGTACAGTTTGTTCGTAGTCACTAAGCACATTTCGATCTTCCGTCCACTTATTCCGAACGGTTACCAAGGCAAGTGGACCGTTATGTGTGTCAGCCGCAAGGGTGACATTTATCACACATGTCCAAGTCACCATTTCAAGATGACCACATTCGATAAATGATGGTTTCACTCATACCCAAACACACGTCACCTCACCTCAGAAATATTTTAATAGTGTTTACACCGGATGCAAGAAATCCTGCAAGATAACGGTAATCAAACGCACAGAGTTCTCAAACACCCTCAGATTAGAAACGCCAGTTCCCATAGGCATAGAACGGAACTGCACACACAGTCGTGTTATACATCCAACGTTTTACAGTAAGGTTAACGACACGATGGCGCTGGAAGTGGTTCACATTGGTGTATGCACGATTGGAAATCTGACCAACAACACTTCTGTCAGCACTCACAAAACTACACAGGTACACTGACTTTCCAACAACTTCCCACAGCTCATCACTAAAGATAGCTGATAGTACAGGTTTCTGTTAATTTTGTACGAGCACTTTGAACTTCGATGATGAAAAACACATACCGTACTTCTGACCACGGATCGCCAACTGACTGAGTCAGATCTGAGTAGTCTGCATGTTGTCGCATACTCGAGGTCGGAAACTCTCATCTGGTAAGGGTCTGTCGAGTGTCATAGATGGCGAAGTTAAGGGGAAATGTCGAGATTGAGTAGCCCGGTCAGACCACTGTATTGTTTTGGAACAATGGGGACAGGCTGGTGTATGCACTCAGTCTACCTGAGGTGTTGAAGAACTGTGCTATCCACCTGCTATCGAACTTCTCAGGGACACTTGTCTATGATAGGCGATTCCAGAGTACAGCTGTGTCCAACGGATTGGAGGTAGTCCCTATGTTGAGTAACACAACGGTCATTGACGATAATACGTGTAACAGTGTTCGAACAACTGGTTGAGGATGAACACGTGGTCAATGCACCAATGACTTGAACGAAACCCAACCTTCTCTTCGTTTGTTTGTCTTCACATCTCTTGTGAGGAATATTCCACTGGTAGCTTACTAATACTCCAGTTATCACCACAATGACTGTCAGTCAGTTCACGGTAGGTCTAGAAATCACTCTGTGTTGGTCTCGGTTGCTGCATCAAGTTAGAAGGCACCCTAGCGAAAGACGTGTGGAGAGTGGAAAAGCAAGAAGAAAACTAAGAATACAATTCAGCAGCTACGTGCACGTGCATGTATGAGGCAATTGCACACCTATTGTATGAGGTATCCCACTGAACGAAAATTGAGTCCATATACCATAAACCCCAACTGGACAAAGTATGGCTACAATATGACGATTAGAAAGAAAATTAGGTATTGGAGCCACTGCGATCGATGAGGCACTACAACGCCATCTACTATCGTATCCATTTTTAAACACAGCAACTCCATCTGACTAGTCCTTTACTCAAATGGCGGTTGCACGACACAGAGACTATCTTATAAAGGTTACAATAGTCTTCTGATATTTCTTAATCTTACTTTCCACGTCTCATAACCATGTAGTAAAACGAAGCGAACTACATCAAAGTACACTTCACCCTTAATAGGCATCAACATTTTACATTTGGGTGGCAAGGAACGCATCGCAAACATTTTGAAGTCGCTAATCATGGTGTCCAGAATACTCTGTATCATTCATCATGGACTGACATCAGTTGAAGGAGGAGCATTGGAAACTTGGGAGCACTGGACACCTGTTTCGTCTTCGTATGGGACTCCTCAGCAGAGCGCACCCCACCAGGATAAAAGAATCACTAAATCTCCATAAACCCCAAATGAAACTCATCTAGTGCTCATTGGTGACGAGCTTCGAGAAGTGATTCCTGAAGTCCCGATGAGAAGTCGTGACCAGTGGGGCAAACCTGGTAGTCGTCAGGGCAAATACTCAGCGGTGATATTAGGTGATGGTCACGCTATGTCATGAACTGACAGAAGTTGGAAATATAGACCAGTGGGCCATGATCTAGTGGCTCAGTGGTAACGTGCTGACCATTGAACCTCAAAGTCCTGGGTTCGATCCATGGCGAGGTCGGAAGTGCGCACTGCTGATGAGTCCCATAATAGGATGACAAGGTTACTTTAGTGCATGCAGAGGTATTGTTCACTTCGATGAAGCAATCGATTACAGGGTCATTAATTAGGTCTAGTTTTCAAGCCTTAAGCTTACCTTTAATGTGTTCTATGGTTTAACCCTGGTTTTTTATTCGCTACCTATGTGATTGATGCTGCTGAGATTTCTGTCTTCTGAAATAATGTCTCAAAGAATGCATTTTTCTCTGAGTTATTTTAATCGTTGGTTGTCGTTACTAAACTATTTAAAGACAAATATTTGGACAGCAGTGTATCTACTTTTTACATGTGTCGTATTCTGGCTCATCTTAGTTGTGTAGAAATATATGTGGGACTCCAGGATGTGGCTCATCTGGTAACCATAATCGACACTGTTAAGTGATCACAGTGGGGCAGATACATTCATACTTTAACTTCATCTTATCCGTTGTATCACTGGTCGTTGTTTGTTATATCTCCTCTTCTTTTCATCCTTAGACTTTTTATGACTTATAATGATGCTATTTCCATCCCTTATCCTTTATCTTAATATAATATACTGGTTTCACATATAGTTACACAGTAAAGACAGATCTATTTTGATATGGACTAATTCTGGATAGTTCTAATCCGTTTGTATCTGTTTGATTAGTTAGATGATGATACGTAGAAAACTAGGTTGAGCAAGGCTTTAAGATTTTTGCATCTAATATTTATGTGGATATCGTTTCAGATGTAAAAAGTGGCTAAGTGAGTATTTTTTAAAATGTCAACATATGATTAAGTTTTTCCCTTCCTTCCCTTCCCTTGAATGACTTTTTCCGCTGTTTGTCTTCTATCAACATTTGTTTTGATATCATTATGCTTTTTATTTACGCTTCAATAAACTCAGTAAATTGGTCACAGTAATTAGCACGTGCTGTATTCCAATATGAAGTTCGACATAAATAGCTTTCATTTTGCAGGCAAATTTACTTTTCAAGATGAGAACTTTCGTAAGCGGTAGTATCACGTAAAGATTAATTTGTCGTTTTCATATTGGTTGAATTGTGCACAACTTCGGTAGAACCTTTATTCCAGGGGGAATATACTAAGAGTTCATCAAAACTGGGTTAAATGGTTTGTTAAATTGGATTTTTGATTATTCTGAGTATTTATGCAGCTAATCTGATTTCTGGTAAGTCCTTTCTTTCCTTTTTGGATAGGTTATTAGTGTATTTACCGGATTAACGATTTTATTGCTTGTTGCGGCTCCGTTTATCATGGTTGCTGTGCCATGTATTATATGTGCAAAATGTCATCGTATTTACCACCAATACCGTTCACGCAAACGACATACCAAAGGTCTGTATGCAGGTAACGGTTGTGTACCAACTGCGACTAATTTCTCGAGCATACAAACTAAACCAGTGGATGCATCTCAACCTGCCTCATCGTCTCCACATCACAGTATCTTCGTATCGTCTTGCAGGTCTTCTGTCGTTAATACTGATTTTAATAAAACTGTTGAACAGAAAGCTGATATTCATTGGTTACCATGTCAAGAAGATTCAAAGCATGCATCTCTACAAAAAGCTATGCATCGATCGAGTTCTGTGCCTGTTCATTGCTGTACAACAGCTAGTAATCTAGTCATAACACCCTATACACCGTGAATTTTTCTATTGTTTCACAACAATGTTCTCATCGTTCATTTTCCATTTAGTTTCATTTTCAGAAGTTGTGCTTGCATCAAAACGTTTTCAAAAATAATTTTATATTGTATGTAAGATTCTACTATGAATTGAGTAGAGAATATATCCAAGAGTGTAATTCTTTTTATTGTTCTATATGCATATGATAATCAGTTTTTTTTTGACTGAATCAACTTTTCAAGGTATTTTTCATGGTGCATTTATCTCCCTTCTCTTGACCTCTACCTCTGTACATATAAGCTCATTCCAATACGGTGAGGTAGTGATATCTATAATTAAAGTGTTCATTGGTTCATGCATGAAATATTCATGCAGATGTTTTCTCTCACGGTTCAAATATTTATTTTCTTCAGTTGCCTTGTTTGGTCAGTATTCTCATACTGTATACTTCTGATAATTTGACTGTGTATATATACCTGTTTATACTGTTTTCCTTCTTTAAAAACAGACTTTTTTTTAGAATTATTTACTTTATTCATTTATAATGATTTATTTGTTTTACACATATTTTAATTTGTCTCATTGCCTCGTAGATACACAGCTATCTTATTACTGACGTTCTTCATTTACTGTTTTTAGTTTTATTTCTTTATTTGTTGGGATAAAGGATATGGAACTGTACTTAGCAATAGAAAATGAAAAACGATTGGATGCATATACATATAGACTATATTTTACCTTCTTGCCCAGGGTGCATGCGCAGCACACTTTACTCTGGTATTATATTTAATCTTTACTTCAGCTCTTATATCCATTTTTTAGATGTTTCACACTGTTAGTCCTCAGATGGATATGCCAATCAGAAATTTGCATTTGCGTTTTCTCTTTTCTCATATATATATATATATATATATATATATATATATATATATATATATATATATATATATATATATATATATATATATAATCTCTGTGATATACATGCACTTCACGTTGATGGTAATGGTATTAGAAGGGTTGAGGAAAAAGTGATCAATTATTATTGCATGTTTTAGTTGGTTAAATCTTCTATGTTACACCTGTTTTCAAACTTGCCATATTTATTCATACTGTTATCTTGATTTACAGTCATTATTTTACATTCCTGTGTCGTTCGATTTGTTCTTTCGAATGAATTATCTTAAAGATATATATTATTCACGTTGGATTCTTTTACTTTTGTTTAGCTTCTTAGAAAAAATGTTTATAACAATTATGTCTTTTATGCATAAGTCTCTTCATTATCCAGTGTCGGGTTTATGCGGATTTTATTTCTAGGGTTGTATTTACTACGGATGATATCAGTTGGGGAATGATTGAAAACTCGGGAGCACTGGACAGCTGTTTCGTCCTAGGATGAGACTCCTCAGCAGTACGCACTCACGACCCTATCTGTTAACTAAACACTTGTCACGTTATACCGCCAATTGACAGAAGTAGGCAACCGTGGACCACTGATATCCAACCTATTCGCTGAATGGTTAATGCGTTCGTCCTGAAACCAGACGGTCTTGAATTCGATCCGTGGCATGGTCATGAGTGCGTATTGCTGAGGAGTCCCGTACTAGGACGAAACAGCTATCCAGTGCTCCAAATGATATCAGTCTATGATGAATTTAACCTTAATAATGATGTTATGTCTTGTGAATTGTCTCACTCATACCACCTGGAAATTATTACTGCACTCAGTTTATCTCATTGAAAGTAACTATTCGACAGTGGTTATTTTGAACGTGTACAACAAAATATCAACAAGGTACACACCATACAGATGTGTAAAATATTCCATGTTCATTTGAATTAGTATATGGGCAGTTATCTTGTAGAAATTTAATTACTATCAGAAACCTAACATTATTCAAAGACCATAAAGCAAATTAACAAATGTCCAACTTAATCAAGATTGTTCTAATAAAATCATAGTTATAGGTATAGGAAGTAAAAGTTCTTAGAGACTGTTTCGTGCATAGAAAGTATATCACTTCTAAAGGGGAATGAAATGAAAAACGCTATCTCTTGAATACATAGGAAGTTCATAAAATGTGAACAACAGTCTGTAGTTTACCTTTCAGTATAATAACAGAAAACCGTCTTTAACTACGGACTCACTGATTTCTTGAACTGGTATAAAATTTTATTCTAATTTACCGTTGTCTGCCCTCGGTTTTATAGTTTTAATAAACTTTAGTATTAGAAAAAAGACTGATTGAACGAAGAAATGTATTACTTTTCAACAAGTTCTTTATCTTCGACTCTACACTAATGCATTGGCTTGCAATTCATGTCAAAATAGCAGTCAAGTGGTAGGAGTTGATATGAATTGTATACCTAATATAGTATTAGTAAGGAGCCAAAGGTGAAGCCCTAATTGAAGAGGAATATGTTTCTTCTCTCAATCAGTCTTTTCTAATTGTTTAAACTAGACAAGTTATAGATTGGTCGTTACCTTTCTTTACATCAATATATATCAATTATTTATTGTGTTACCATAATGATATATAATTCACTAGTTAAGGGATTTAACTCTCAAATGATAGGTTGTGATTCCACTCTACCTACTTCAGTCTCGGTAGTATCATTAGCTGTACCACAAGTGTGAAATCGAATCAATATCTACTCAGCGACCTTGTGCACATTTGAGCAGGAGGTAATGGGTCACACCTAATGTGGGAGGGCTGATGATACTATCTGGCTGCCCAAACCTCGGTTCATAGAGCTGTGTTTGAACCTGTGATCCATTAGTTGAAAGTCAACTTCCTAAAGCAGTGCACCACCACTACAAGTATGGCCTTTATCTTAATACTCATATGACTGGGAAAACAACTTGATTCGCATTGCGCAATATCATTTGTTACTGTTAATTTATAAAAACGTCTTACCTACATCTACCTAAAATGTCGTCCGCTCTGAAAGCTCGAAGAGAGGAGGAATATTAGATTTTGACTAGTTCTTATGTGACCTTTGAGAAGCGAATCTGTTTGGAAATGGATCTTAATGATTTAAGCCAAATGATCGGGATGGACGAACGAGATGAAGGCTCTTCCAGCCAATCGGCAGCTAGATTCCTGGTGTCAGCGAAATTGTTGATGAGCTGGGTGGAATTCCGATCAACAACCTTATTAAGCACGTGAAAAGTAAGGGAGAACGTGTAAAAATGCGGCTCAGCTGACCTACAGCTCCAACAGCCGCTTCAGTTTCTTGTTATCTGTAGTTGCAAAGCACCGATTCACTAAACGAACCCGTAAGTAAAAGCATAATGATATCAAAACAAATGTTGATAGAAGACAAACAGCGGAAAAAGTCATTCAAGGGAAGGGAAGGAAGGGAAAAACTTAGTCATATGTTGACATTTTAAAAAATACTCACTTAGCCACTTTTTACATCTGAAACGATATCCACATAAATATTAGATGCAAAAATCTTAAAGCCTTGCTCAACCTAGTTTTCTACGTATCATCATCTAACTAATCAAACAGATACAAACGGATTAGAACTATCCAGAATTAGTCCATATCAAAATAGATCTGTCTTTACTGTGTAACTATATGTGAAACCAGTATATTATATTAAGATAAAGGATAAGGGGATGGAAATAGCATCATTATAAGTCATAAAAAGTCTAAGGATGAAAAGAAGAGGAGATATAACAAACAACGACCAGTGATACAACGGATAAGATGAAGTTAAAGTATGAATGTATCTGCCCCACTGTGATCACTTAACAGTGTCGATTATGGTTACCAGATGAGCCACATCCTGGAGTCCCACATATATTTCTACACAACTAAGATGAGCCAGAATACGACACATGTAAAAGTAGATACACTGCTGTCCAAATATTTGTCTTTAAATAGTTTAGTAACGACAACCAACGATTAAAAATAACTCAGAGAAAAATGCATTCTTTGAGACATTATTTCAGAAGACAGAAATCTCAGCAGCATCAATCACATAGGTAGCGAATAAAAAACCAGGGTTAAACCATAGAACACATTAAAGGTAAGCTTAAGGCTTGAAAACTAGACCTAATTAATGACCCTGTAATCGATTGCTTCATCGAAGTGAACAATACCTCTGCATGCACTAAAGTAACCTTGTCATCCTATTATGGGACTCATCAGCAGTGCGCACTTCCGACCTCGCCATGGATCGAACCCAGGACTTTGAGGTTCAATGGTCAGCACGTTACCACTGAGCCACTAGATCATGGCCCACTGGTCTATATTTCCAACTTCTGTCAGTTCATGACATAGCGTGACCATCACCTAATATCACCGCTGAGTATTTGCCCTGACGACTACCAGGTTTGCCCCACTGGTCACGACTTCTCATCGGGACTTCAGGAATCACTTCTCGAAGCTCGTCACCAATGAGCACTAGATGAGTTTCATTTGGGGGTTTATGGAGATTTAGTGATTCTTTTATCCCTGGTGGGGTGCGCTCTGCTGAGGAGTCCCATACGAAGACGAAACAGGTGTCCAGTGCTCCCAAGTTTCCAATGCTCCTCCTTCAACTGATGTCAGTCCATGATGAATGATACAGAGTATTCTGGACACCATGATTAGCGACTTCAAAATGTTTGCGATGCGTTCCTTGCCACCCAAATGTAAAATGTTGATGCCTATTAAGGGTGAAGTGTACTTTGATGTAGTTCGCTTCGTTTTACTACATGGTTATGAGACGTGGAAAGTAAGATTAAGAAATATCAGAAGACTATTGTAACCTTTATAAGATAGTCTCTGTGTCGTGCAACCGCCATTTGAGTAAAGGACTAGTCAGATGGAGTTGCTGTGTTTAAAAATGGATACGATAGTAGATGGCGTTGTAGTGCCTCATCGATCGCAGTAGCTCCAATACCTAATTTTCTTTCTAATCGTCATATTGTAGCCATACTTTGTCCAGTTGGGGTTTATGGGTATATGGACTCAATTTTCGTTCAGTGGGATACCTCATACAATAGGTGTGCAATTGCCTCATAC